TCGACTCCAGCTTTTTTTGTTCCGGAAATATACGGAAAAAATAGAAAATTTCAGCTGTATCTTTATTTGGAGATAGGTATATTGGAAATTTTTTCACATAATTTTTATACAAGCAGTCTTTCAATTCGGTCCATCCTCAACTTTGACTTGTATTTCAATAATTAATTTTTTGATTGGTAATGTTCATATAATATTGAAAAAAAAATAATTTGCCTAAATATTCTTAGGATGGTAATTTGATGATCCTTAGATGAATTTTTATCTTTTAACGACTGTGATAATCGGTCAAATAGATACACTACTTACTCTTTTTATATTTCAAAGCTGATTCTAGAAAACTTATTTACACTCAACGGTTATTTGAATACATAAAGTACACATATGTGATATAACAACCCTCTGGAAATTTTCAGTAAGGTTTTCTCATGTCGTACAACCTCCAGAACAAACACTTTCATTTCGACTCTCACGATTTTCTATGAACACTATTAGTCTATGAAACGTGAGTCAATTAGTAAAGAGATGCATACACAGGGTGTTTTCTAACTACGGTACGAAATGTCAGAAGGTGATCGTTAGAAAGTTTAAAAAAAGTCCTATGAATATATGTCTGGATTTGCTATACTTCTCAGATACGGGACGTTCAAGTTAAAAAAAAAACAGTATATATAAAACATCACAAATGTGCTTGAACCGATTTGGTTGAAGTTGTGTACAGTTATTTGAAGTGATAAGGCGGGTAACTAGATTGTAATTGTTAGGTCCAGTGGCGTCTTAGTGGGAACCGCTGCCAATAATATTGACAAAAATAGTACGCCACTAACTTGTTTATTGTATGTTTTTATCATTCAGATTAAAAAACTAAAAATACAACTTTTAGGTCTCTCTATTTTTGTATATAGAGAATAAAATTGAAGCCACTTCATCGCATATCATGAACATAGATTTTTTTTTGTTATTATCGAAAAACATCTCTTCCATTTGTCTCAAATTTGGTATTTTTATTACGAGCTAGTAAATAAATTTGACTTGATCAGTCAGTGTTAGTAGAAAATTGAAGCCAGTTCTTGGCCTCTCCCCACCACTATGACGTTATTAATGGCATCAAGGTGAGCTTGAAGGATACATTTCATTAGTTCGGACTTCCATGGTCTAATATGATAAACATTATTCAAAATCCGTGAAAGAATCAATAAAATTAAAAATATCAGCTGAAAGTAACAATTATATTAAGCAAAAAAACTTAAATCACAATGTAATAAAATACAAGCAACAATTGAAAACTGATTAATTAACATGAAATGAAAATTGAAAGATTTCAAGCAAAGTTACTTCACGACGTTTAGATTGTTAGTATCCACAATTGGCTTCGGGTGATGACTGGTGATGATTGTTGAACAAAATATATGCGTTTTTTTGAATTTTCTCCTAAACCAGTGTTCCTCCTTGTGGATGATTTCAGCTTGGGACCATTTGATATTATGTTGATGAGTCCAAATATTCTCTGCTATCCCCGATTTGCTGGTTTTTCCTCGTTGTGTGGGTTTATTGTGATCGGCAATGCGAACTTTGTATAGCCTCTTAGTTTCACCGATGTAGGATTCTCCGCATAGGGTATCCGGCAAATGCAATTCTTGCATTCTGCGTTTGGTGACCTGGTTTTCGTGAGGCTGCTACAGATAGTGTTTCCAGATCTGAAGCAGGTTTTGATAAACATGGACCCAATTCTTCTTATTTTTTCCGACAATCCTCTGATGTAGGAAAGTACAAGTACTGGTTGTGATGCTTTTGCTGTCTTCTAGCTGAAGCCTGTTCAACCATCACTTTGGAGTAGCCATTCCGTTGAAGACCATTTTTGATGATGTCTTATTCCTTCTCGAGATCTCCCTTTGAATTACAGAGCCCGAAAGCACGGTCTACTAGAGTATTGATGATTCCTCTCTTAGTCGATTGATGGTGGTTGGATTCCTGGTTCTGAAACTGGTATACAGATGTTTCCCACTTAGTGTCAGTCCTCTTCACCAATACCTTTAAGAAAGGCAATTCGTTGTGGACTTCCTTCTCCATTGTAAAAGTGACGAAAGGTCTTGCGTTGTTGATGTGCTTCAGGAAGGTATCTAGTTCTGTATTCTCATGGTTCTATATTATGAAGGTGTCGTCAACGTATCTCAACCAGACTCGGGGCTTCTTGTGGGCTTCTTTAATGGGCAGAGTTTTAAACCATTCCATATATACGTAGGCTATAACCGGTGAAAGTGGCGATCCCGTTGGCAATCCTTCATCTTGCGTCGAGAATTCGACCTTCAGTTGGAAATAGCAGTTTCGTACACTTCATCCTAGTTATTCCATGATTGCTTGTATCGGTAAGTTCGTTCTCTCTTCTAGGTCCCCAGTAAATGCCAACCTCTTTTGTTAATGTCAGTGCTCCCCCATGTGAGGTTGTGTGCATTGACATTGAAGTCAATGATGAGCTGTGATCTGTCTGCTCGATAGGGCCTCACTAGTTTGTCCACATCCTTAGTTGTACGCTGATCCAATGACGATTTTTCAGGTCCCCATAACATTCGTCTGGTATGCCAGAGGCACCCTTGGTGATACCTTATACGGCCCAGGCATCATTCATATTCTGGCACAGATTGCATACTTAATTAAACTGAATTAAACCCTCCACTTACACCTGGAAAGGGTTACTATGGACTCATTCTTACCTCCCGGTGCCACAGGGGAGGTCATCGTCTGATTTTTCTCCGGTAGGGTCCATTAGCTAAGCTATCGCATGCATCGCTCCGAGCTCCATAAAAGTACGGAAGTCCCACCACCACGACGAGGTTACGACACCGTTGATAGTGCCTACGCTTACGCTCTAACGATAATCTATCCAAACCAGAGGCGAAAAAGCTCTGCATGGTTGTATATAATGTATCGTCAGGTATAGCTGATTTAGCAAGCATTTTAAGGTACAGATTGCCAGTCAAGTTTTCTTCCAGAAATAATGGACCAATAATGGCATTTTCAAGAATACCAGCACAAAAATTAACTTTTTGTGCGTATTGTGTGTGTTCTTCCTGAAAAGTATAGCGACAATTTTGTCGATTAACATTGACATTCAGAAAAAATGAACACTCATTGCTGAGACAGATGTTTAACAAAAGATTATGGATGGTATTGACTCGATGTGACATAATTTCACAATTTCATCCTCGTGGAGCTCTTGAAGAATTTGCATTTTATATGGATGAAATTTATGCACTTTCAGTGGTTTTCTTGCAGTCTCGCGTGACATTTCTGTCTGTTCTGATACTAATAGTAACTTCTCCATAAATTACAATAATTTCAATACTGTCTTGAAGAATGTAAACCATTTTTACACTTTTATATACTTATGAAAGTAATCACTAAACAGCTCAACAGGTACCTCTCTTTATACACAATAATACCAAATCGTTCAAATTTGCGAACCAATTTTTTGCCCGAAAACAAAAACTTTTTACAGCAGAAGTAGCAAAATACGACGGTTATCTGTATCCTTTCTGCGATGAGAATTAAAAATTCAGCATTTACTCTAAACACAACTTTATTACGTTTCACTATTAGACTACTTTTTGATCAATTGGGGCTAATGGCTAATGTTACCCCTAATAAAGGGTTGGAACGGTAACCCCTAATATTCTCACCAGTTCTGGTCAAACCATGCATCTCAGTATAGGCGTACTAATTACTACTGTTAGTTCAGAACGAAGGCTACAAATAGTCCTTGAAAGTGTCATTCTTGACAATCAAATTGACCTGTTTTTTCAAAAGCGTGTCACAAGTATTTTCATTAAGGTGGAAGTTCTTCAGTACTAGCTATTACATTGAAAATGAGCCCTAGTGATGTGGTGCTAGTCCTCAATCATTCTTTACTGTTTTCAACGCATTATATGTGCTGTACTGTATTGAAAAATGCCAATATACAGGGTGTTTATTGAAAATGCGGCAAAAATGAAGGGACTATTACTTGGACTGTTCTAAGGATATTTTGTCCTTTGATGATTTTTGATAGGGCTCTTTGTTTCGAAGATGCAAGACGAAAAATGATTTCGACAATAACAATTTTGGTAATTTTGAAATTATTAACGTAGCCGAAATAAAAGGAGGTATAGCGTACTACACTGGACCTATCAAGTAATAAAAAATCTAAAGTTTCCGTTGGTACCTATTAACAACATTCCTATTACTTCAAATGACTGCAGACATTCAATTTGCTGGGTGTAACGCAATCAGAAACAATCCTGGTGTTTTTGAAAGAGTTCGGGAGTCGATGAGAAGAATGGATTCTTGCATCCGACCGGGGGTAGTCATTTTCAACGGTTCTTGTACATTAAGAAACATTACATGTAATATTTGGTAATAAATTGTTATATATGATGGAATTGGCCGATACTTGATGAAAATCCATGATTAACGTTTTGAAAAACACTTTATTTTCAGATTTTCACTAAATGAATTTTACGAAAACGCAACACGTGTTTCGCCATACAATGGCTTCTTCGGGCGTGTCTTTACTCAACGCCCGAAGAAGCCATTGTATGGAGAAACACGTGTTGCGTTTTTGTAAAATCGTTTAGTGATAATCTCACAATCAAGTTTTTTTGAGTACGTTATAAATTGTTATTGTTGAAATTCTTTTTCGCTCCGTATATTCGAAACAAAGCGCCCTATCAAAAATCATCAAAGGATAAAATATGCTTAGGATAGTCTAAGGAAAAGGCCCTTAAATTTTTGCCGCATGTTTAATAAACACCCTGTAAAACATGGTATCACATTGATTAGTAATATTCTGAATTTGATACAATCCTACAAAAAGTAGGATTCTAAAATAAAAAGTGGGGAATCGGACGTTTATTGTGTATAGAAGTAGTGCTAGCAAAAGTCTTCGTTTGTATCAAATAAGTTGCATGGAAAATGTATCAACTTTGCTGAGCAGTATTCAATTCTGGTACATTCTATTTGTTCTTCAGCATTGCTCGAAAATGAAGCGGAAATGCTCCAACAAATCCTATTTTGGATAAACGACACTGACGAAGACTCTGAGGATGATTTCGATGACTTCGAACTCGACCTCGATGATCCCTACATCGCCATGCAGTATTACGATAGGGATGACATTGAAAGGTATATAGCCATGGACCGCATAGCCAATGGATCTGATGATGAATTTAATATGTTTTACTAGTGTTTTCATTGGACGTTCAACCTCTATTTACCTATATTGAGTTTTTCAGTTTAATGTTTTATCGGGATGTTTAAATCCATTATTTATACTTGCTATTAGATATTTTGGGAAATCATTTTGTGTAATTAATTAAGTAATACATTTTTTGTTCATTGAACTATATTTTAGTTGTGACCTGCTTAATTTTGATGATTCATTACCTGATTTGAGTTTGAAATTGAGAAAATTTGTTTAATTATTAAATATACTGTTGAAAATATCGTACCTTAGGTATCCCAAACAAAAACCACTTTACTAATATATCATCGTGGAAATACAGGGCAAACATGCGGCAAAAATTTAAGGGACTATTCCTTGGACTATTTTGAGGATATTTTGTCCTTTGATGATTTCTGATAGGGCGCTTTGTTTCGAAGATACGGGCCAGAAAAAAAATTTACATAACAATTTATTATCAAAAATAACATATAGTATTTCACAATCTACAAGAACTGTTGAAAATGTCTACCCCCCGCTCAGATGTAAGAATGTAAGAATCCAATCTTCTCATCGACTCCCGAACTCTTTCAAAAACACCAGGATCGTTTCTGATTGCGTTACACTTACACCCAGCAATTACCCGATTTCTTAAATCTTCCACTTCTTCCACTGGAGTAGTATAAATTGATGACTTTGGATGGCCCCTATTTCTTGGTAGGTCTAGTGTAGTAAGTTATACTTTTATTTCGGCTACGTTAATAATTTTAAAATTACCAAAATTGATGTTGTCGAAATTCTTTTTCGCCCCATATCTTTTAAACGAAGCGCCCTATCAAAAATCATCAAAGCACAAAATATTGTTAGAATTGTCCAAGGAATATACCCTGCATTTTTTGCCGCATGTTAAATTAACACCCTGTATAATTCATCCTCTGCTACATTGTGATTATTTTTTTTTATTATAGGCATATGAACTTTACAAAAACTAACGAAAAAGCTCGAGTAGGCATTTAGAAATACTCATTGTTTTTGAATTAAAATTCATTGAGAAAATAAATTGATTGATCAATACACTTGAAACATTTGGAGTCAAATCAATAGAAGATACGAGGACATTCGAAACTTGTATATGTATACGGACAGAAAACTCTATTTTCTGTGCATTTTGAAGACATCACTCCAAACTAATGTCGCCTTGATTTCAAACAAGTTGAAGCCTGGCTCCCTTACCGTGATGCTCTTTCAGAAGGTGGAGCGGGTCATAGCTGATCATGAGGGGTGGCATGAATGTCCTCAGATATCAGTAACGCCCTTCACGGTGGACCCCTGCCTGGCTGGGGTGTTTGGATGAAAATATTGTCCATCTTTTAACGGGGGACATGAGGGCCTCCTTCAACAGAGTGTCTGGGCCTTCTATATCGGGAAGGGTCGTCTACAGCATAATCTCTAGCTTCCCTGTCGTAACGGATTATCATGGGTTTCTGCGCAATCAAAGACTTGCCGATTCCTCGACTGAATGGACTGCTGAATGTAAGGCAGCTGCAAATCTCTGCGGATGGCTTCGTTCCGTACGAAACACGGAGCATTCACAATCATCCGTATCAACTTATTTTGCAATCTCTCCAGAATGGAGATATTAGACGGAACCGCTTGTCCCCAAACGCTTGTAGATCGTGATTTTGTTCTTAACGGTCAGTTTGCATCGTCTATTGATCAGAGGGTACATACTTTTGATCCGAACCTCAATCTTTGCCTTAACAGTTGTGATGTATGTGTTCCAAGTGAGCCTACGGTCTATTAGAAGACCGAGGTACTATACCCGCGCTTGCCAGTCGGTCTCCCTTCCAGAGATCCTCACTTTTCTAGCCGGAAAAGATGTCGTTCTTCCCATGGTTATCGCCTGAGTCTTGTCCGGGTTCACTCAGATCTTCCATTCGAGGTACCAGCGCTCGAGGTCGTCCAATGCACGTTGCATGTAGACGATCACGAGCTCCCGACCCATGGAAGACGAGAGGAGAACCGTATCGTCGGCGTCGAAAGGTCGAAAGGTCACTGGTGTAAAAGAAGTACAGCGTGGGAGAGAGCACGGCCCCCTGTGGCACTCTAACTTGAAATGTTCTGTCTTTCAGGAAAGACCCAATCCATCGGATCAGGCCCCGAGGCAGGTCGAATGCAATTAGTTTGTGTAGAAAGCCTTCGTGCCATACACGGTCAAAGGCCTTCGAGATGTCCAATAAGACGACATGAACTTTTCGATTCTGATTCAGTTCCGCAATGGTGTTTTCGACCAATCTTAGAGCCTGTAACTCAGTTGAGTGTTCTCTCCTGACGCCGAATTGTTCGTTAGGCAGAACATTTCGGTTCTCGACTTCTGCGGTGAGTCTTTGGAGTACGACTCTTTCAGCCAGCTCAGCCGCCGACGAAAGCAGACTGATCGGGCGATAGTTCTGCGGGAACAGCAAGTTCTGATGCTGTTTTGGGATCATAACGACGCAACGATATCATGCTTCCACCTTCTGGGGAAGTATCTGAGGGCCAACGAACTGTTGATGATCAGTATTACGTTTTTGACGCAGTTTTCCGGAAGCCTCGTCAATGGCCTATTGGTTATTGAATCTACCCCTGGGGCTTCCTTGGCCTTTGCGGCCTTGATATAACCCTTTAGCTCCTCCACTGTAGCCGGGCGAATTATATCATCGTCATCTTCCCTAACGAAGGTACCCGATCTTTCAGCAGAATATCGCGGTCGATGCCTTCTCAGGCGATTTCTCTCCCGTATCAAGGCTTTGATATGGGGGGGAAAACTCATTGTAGTTCTTCAGCGGACACTCATCTCTGGAGGTGGCCACTCGAAACGCATCATTCACAAAAAGCTCGAAACGTTCAACTGCCGCGTCGAGTTTGTCGGGAGAGCGAAGTGATTCTGGGTGTAAATGATTGCTCGGAGGGTTGTAAACCGAGATTAGTCTGTGAGAATCCCTGCTCAGTCGAATTTCGACGCCCACGACCTCAGTTCCGTGTAATCGGGCACTGTCAATGCCGCATTGGGTACACTGAAGGGATCGCTTGACAAAGATGCCAACTCCCCGTGCAGCACGTTCAACACGTTCTCTGTGAAAGAATCTGTAATTTGGAATGACAATAGAGCCACATCGATGTTATGTTCGGTTAGAAAGTTCTCAAAGTCCAGACTTATGGGGCGAATGCTATTTGCATTCCAAAAAATTTCAGAGATTTAGACAACGTTGGTTGTCTAGACATTGACAGTTCCGGTAAGCACGGCGGTATTCACCGTGAACATTTTCTCGAGCACGATGAATTTGACGAACAATTTCTTCATCTGATCTAGTGCGGCATAGATGTCTGAAGCCCCCTGCGTCTGAGGTAAGGGCTCAGATCGAGAGGGAGTGGGCCTTACAGAGTTGCTGGCACCCTTGGATGCAGCTCTGGTAAAGCTGACCTACTCCTGGACACATCCAGACCCCGCAGGTCTTCCTGAGGGGGCTGGTTTTTTAGCAGATTTGCATCTGGGCTTTTTCTATGCCTTTGGATACTCAGGTCAGCCTCTGTAATTGGCGATATGAACCATTTTGCAATTATTGCATTTCGAAGGGTCTGACCTGGGCTTTTTGCAGGCGTTCGTGAAGTGCCTGCCGGCGCACTTAACACAAATTGGAACCGCCAAACAATTTCTTTGGCAGTGGCCGATGTGCTGGCAACGGTGGAACTGACCCACCGAAGTTTTGGGGTGCTGGGGTTGGACCTGAACCTTCACACTCAAGAGGTCAGTGACCTCGAAGATGATCTTGTGGTCTCTACTGACCAGAACGAGAACCATTGGCATGGGTTTGTTGCCAAGCTTCATTCGCGTGACCGAAGTGAGGTCAAAGCCCCTAGCCTCTAGCTCCTCACGTATATCCTCAACCGTGAAGTGCTCTGGCACACCCCTGAAGACGGCACGAATTTGCCGGTCCTCAGGAAGTGAGTAAGTATGGTAAGTCGTCAGGAGTCACAGGCTGGACTCTATTGCCGTCATGTAGATTTACAGCTTTGGAGAAGGTGCTGTCTTGGTCACTTTGACCCACTTGTCCTTCTGAGGTTGTTCATTCTGTCTATGACGGGTGGGGGGGACCAGGCTCCAGGTCCTGGGTAGTCCTGACATTGTGCTCAGAATCCTCTGAGACACTGTCTGTCTGCATGTTTGGACTGATGTCCATGTTATTTTTTTTCACGAGGTGTAGCCACCTCGCGAGCCCGACTTCGTGTTTCTGGGCGGGACGAAACTTCCGATTCGAAATAGCAGTTCCGTGCTTCGTTCCTCTCGCTGTCGATAACAACTTTTTTTGAGATTTTTTTTTGTTTTTTTAGACTTTTCCTTTCGGATCCAGTCGTCTACTCTACGACTGGACACATCAGGCAGCGGAAGGAAATCCTCGTTGATACGTCGTTTTTTCGACATAGTTGTCAGAATCTCGAGCTGAAAATTCACTGTCAGGCGGAGCATTAGCCATTCCCTGTTTCTTAGCTGTCAGCTTTTGACAGCTGGCCCAAGGAACTGGCAATGTGCTGCCATGCAAATCTGCCTGGTTCAGGCCAAAGCATGAGATTAGTTGGCAAACAATGCTAACTATCTCAGCCTTGATCCTGCCAGCCAGACCGCGAAGCAGTTCCTCCATACTGCTTGACTTTTTTTTTAAAGCTAAGAAACACCAATGGAAGCTTGAGCAAAATGAACGCAACGAAAATGATAAATTGGAGCCTACTCACCGAAAAACGTTGTATCCTGCTCAACACAACGCACAAACTAATAACAAGCCAGAAACACTACAGTAGTTGATCATCAACCAGAAACATGTTTTACACAGGAACGCACAGATACGTCAGCTCTCTTCCGCTGTCGCCAACGGAATTTGTGTGTGTGTGTACATCACTCCAAGAATGCAAAATTGCCAATAATTTTTATACTTTATGAAACGGCTTAGGTATCTTGTGTTCCTTGATTTTCTTTGAATTGATTAAAGTATTTTATAAATATCAATGAAATGTCTGTATTTCCACCAATGTATTGAAAACATGTATGTTTTATTTTCGTTTCGCTACAAATAAAAAATAAACAAATATTAGAAGATGAAAGTTGTTAGTAATTCAAGTTATATCAAGGCTATATTGAAGTCATCGTTT